AGGAATTACACGAAGGATTTTAGAGTTCCCTTACAAAGCTTAGCAGAACAGCCTAAGAGAAAGATGCATCTGACAGAGAGAAAAATGAGTAAATTAAAAAAGAAATATTGAACAGGAAGAACTTTGGGCAAAAGGTTCAGATGAATTCAGACAGTTATCTTTAGCCTTAGAGAAAGCACGTTGCCATAGGTTCAGAAGCCTTCCCTATCACAGAATGCTAAATTAAGTCCCATCAAGCAACAGGATCCTTAAGCAGGAAATACCATCCAACCACGTTCTTCAAACGCCTACTACTATCAAAGTGAAAGAAAACAGAGTATTATTCAGTCTGAAAAGAAAACAGCTAAATATCTTAGTTCTGTTAGCTCACTTAACTGCTAAGTGCAACTAAATGTCTTAATCACCCCACTTATCGTGCACTGTTTTGGTTCACACCCAATTTAAAATTTACTCCAGGTGCACATCTAAATGTGCTCAAATCCTGTAAGAGTCACTAGACTGTTTGGAACCACAAATTAAATTAGATGTCAGATGATCTTAAGAATGAAGTAGGAGAACAAAGATAGCAGGTCAAATACTTCAAGGGTTCTCTGCCTCCAAAAATAGGTTTGAAGCATTTTTCTGGGTCAACACAAGGTGTTCAAAGGTGTTATTCCTGGTACTACAGAAACTGCTTCAAGGACAATTGATGCCTGATGATCCACAAGTGCTAAAGACCTGTTTTCCCACTTGTTAATGCCAGTGGTGAGAGCCCTTGTCTCTTTGAGGTGGTTGTGACAACAACAATAATTAGCACTCTCATCCAATTACCTCTGTAGCTCACAACAAAGCAGAGATGTGACAAAAAAGGAGAAAGCATGATCTCCTCTGTCCTTGTCTTAAAGAACAGTCCTAGAGCTATGCTCTCTGTCAGACTTTTCTTCTAGACTTTCAGCTTTGGAGCTTTGCTAACAAGTGGTGTTCTAGCTTCATGGTTTTTGGAGCAGTTATACAAAGTCATTCACCTTGCTAACAAAAATTCCTGAAGACACTACTGTGTCACTCTTTGTACATTTTTTAAAAATTAAGCATCCGAACACTTAGATACAGCATGTTTCTCTATTAGGAAATAGCCACAACACCTATCACAGAGAAAATTTCCTACTGAAAGTCTTCAAAAACAGTCATTGCATAAGCTAAAGATGAGAAGAAACAGTCTAAATACAGAGAAAGGGAATGTAACAATGAATCCTGGCCAGTACCCGCAAACAAAATGGGGGAAAAAAAATTAGGTCCTCAAAGAATTTATAAATAAAAACACTCAAAAGAGAACAAGTAAATCTCAGTCATTCTTAAAGCTAACGATTAAAATCACCTAAACCCACAAAGTCTAACAGTTATGCACGAACAGATCTTCTGACATAGCACAAACTTGCGCATAAAATAAACCCCACCTGAGAAAGGCACATCTCTCAGAACAGTGGAACTCCAGCCCCTCCACAGGGAGAACCATCCATCTGTAGCCACTTTACTGCTGATGCATGTGTACAGTTGCTTGTAGGACAACTGGCGATACTGCATTCTGGTTCTGATCAGCTCCAGGGGGCTCACTACAGTAACTGAACCAACTGCAAATAAGAAAAATGTGGGCTTTTTTTTTAAAATCAACACATACTAGTAACATTACCTGAACATTAAAGTCAGGTCTCACCTTGCTTTATATATTTGATTCCTTTCAACTGTCCCATCTTTCTTGAAATAATTCCCCAAACAGGTTTCCTTTCCAGATAATAATACCATATCTATTCACAGTACCTAAACTTTCTGGGCACACAAGCTACCTACCTTTTTCCAGTACTGGCACGTTGTAATCCATCTATCATGTTAAGAATCCCCATTTTCAGATATATTACATAAATAGGCTGAAAAATTCAAGTACTTACAAAGATTATGTTTCAGTAATTACCATTTTTAGGTGTAACTTGAAGAAAGTGACCTTGGGGTTTGTTGGGGTTTTTTTTGTTAAGGATAAAAATGATGGTTAGAGATTAATCTTTTATTGATTTCTAAGCACCTTTGTCATTCTTATTTTAAGCTATCAAGAATATTTAGCAGGCATTCTGTATCTGATAAAGCAAATCTCTTGCATCACATGGAAAGAATAGTGAGTCACCACTCACTAACAAGCTCCCATCATACATGTAACAGACTTTAACGATTTTACTAGGCCCAAGAATTTTTCTCCTGTTGCTGGGATAAGGTTTCTCTAGCATGTGAATTTAAAATCTGAAGCAGCCTAATAAGAACAATTTGCCACATCACCACAGTATAACAGTTCTTTTTCCGCTCATCTTCCAGTCCCCCTCATAGTTGTCAGGAGTAGAATATGGAACTACATCCTCTGAGTCATCTAAGAAAGCCCAAATTCTATGGTCTGAGCTACTTCTACAAAAATAGAGGAGAAGGATAAACAAAAGTAAGAAAATATAAAAATAAATTCAGTCCCTTTATAGCATACAGCAGTAAAACCAGTACAAGTCCAATTTTCATTTTCTTTGTAATAACCTGTGTAGCTGTCATTATAAAAAATAATTATGTTTATTAGCAGATTCACAACAACAGACTTAAATTAAACTGTCTTTGGTAGTCATCTAGAACTATAAAATTTTGAACAAATTACAAAGGTAGTGAAAGTGTAACAGCAAAAATAAATCACATTATTCCAGGTTAGAGGGTTATGTTGCCCAAGAAAGACTGGGTAATTACAGTATTCCTTCCTACACCCAGCTCCATGTAATATTACCCCTCATTTAAAGCCAAAGCATATTTACGTTAAAAACAAAACAACAAAACAAAGCCAGCAAAACAGCATACAGGTGTTTTATTTCAGTTTTCTCTTTGAACAGATGACAACTTACATCTGCTTAAGGAACCTGCAAGAACTGGAATGTGTTCATCATCCTTTCCTAGCCTAGATTTCAGAGCTTCACTCAGTTGGTCATAGCAGGTAAAATAGATTATTGTGGTAGGAAGTGCCATTATTCTAAAATATAAGAGAGGGAATCTAAATTAATACAAGGAAAGCAGGAGCATGAAGTCAACCATCTTGTATGGATATTTTGCTTAAACAAGGAAAAGTTAAATCTCCAGGTGTGTGATATGGATGAAGAAAAAGCATTAATCCCATGGCTCTGATTCACTGCCTCTAGTTCAGAGTTTCAAATTCACAGATTTCCCAGTTTTCCAGATTTTTATTTCATTAGGAAAAACTGTAAGTAAAATGATGGTGGATTATCTCAGTCAAAATGTATTTCATATCAGCTTCAGAACTGTTTTGATAAAGGAATGGAACTGAAAGATCTGAATATGAAGCAAGCAAACAACACATTATGGAAATAGCTACTAACCTTAAACTGTTATTCATTTAACAATTAGAGATTATTTTCTCTATCTTAATCAACACTTACGGTTCTCATTACTTGAAAGACAATGTGGAGTGAGGAAGTATAAGCTTTTCCCATTCCAGCATAGTATAGACGATAGCAAAACCAGCTAGATCTATAATCATTCAGTGTGGGGGTAAAGCAACATATCTTGCTATAAAATGGCCATTTTATTTCTGTGTTATGTCTGTGCCAGTATAGCACATACCACCATGACCAAAAAACGGTGAAGGCTGTCACACTTGGAAAACCAACAAGCCATTGTTTAGATCTTCTTTTAAAAATTGTGTACCTCTCTCCAGTCAAGAAGCCGGCTCTTCTCTGCTGGACTACCGAACACACGTTGAAGAAAAAACTCTCCTGGCTGAAATACAGACCTCTCAATTCAGTTAGGTCCTAAAGGATTATATATTGAAATTGCCACATGTTGCAGGACAAATAACAAGGCCTAAGCTCCACCATGCTTTGCTTTTTTGTGCCTATATACTGAGTGCACTGTGTGCAAATCAAAAGCGTACCAGTGCTTTCTCACTGGGCAACACTTCATGTCTTACAAGATACAATTTTATCTAGAAATTAGATTTGACCACTTTCTTGGATTGTCTATGGAGGAGGACATAATTATAGAGGTCTTTCTTAATTACTATCTGTACCAGGTTAATATGAATAAAAAGATAAAATAGTTTGGTGCTGTTTAGCCTAAAGAGAAGATCAGGAGGAGATCTGATAACAGTGTTTAAATATGTAAATTGCTCTTGTAGAAAGAAAATGAATGATCTTTTTCCGTGACAAAGTTGGATAGGATAAAAAACAATAAAGTTCTCTGGAATAAAGGAGATTCTAGTAGATGTTTTAAAAAAATCAAGTACAAATGATGTGCAACACTAGAGTGTCTGTGTTGCTTATTGGGAGACAAAAGTAACAATCTAGGATAGCAAATAGCTATCAAAGACTAGTATTCTCTAACAATAACGCTTGACCCTATGATTTGATGATGCTATCAAGGGGACGGTTACAGTAAGGATACCACCTCTGAAAGGCAGAATGGAAGGTCTGATGTTCCTGCTTAAGTACTGAGATTATGTCAAAGAAGTTGCAAGGAGAAATCTCAAGATCTGGCAAAAATTATACCATCTCTAGATGTTTCTGATTGAACCGATTGTATCATTATCTGTAATTTCAGAATTTACCAAATTTTTAAAATCACTTAGAAACAAACATACTGATTTATCTAAATGGTGAAGTAATTTTTTAATGATAATTCATAACACGTTACTAAAAAAAAGAACATTCAACTTACAGTGTTGGGGGAAGCCCACTCCACAGTGATTTAATTCCCTCTATTTGAATAATTTTCACAAATGCATCCTAAAAATACAACCAGGCGAAGAGCCATAATTAGCTACAAACTTTTGTACTCAGTAATATATTTTAGCTGGCAGAACACAAAATTAACGTGTTCAAAAGTATGTTTCTAAAACGGCTTATCACTGTAAGATCCTATTTTTGTAATGGCTTACGCTAGCTATCATATTTAATCACACAAATATTTCCACTGAGCTGAAGAGAAATATTTGTGTGATTGAAATTAAGAATTTCCTTCTGTCATTAAAAGACCAAAGTACTTAAGTTTTTATTAGTAACTGACAGCCCCATGAATAAGTTATTTTCAGAACTAACACAGCAGCAAGTTGTGGAAACCTCTTCAAAATAATCTACTAAATATTTTCTTAATACATAACAAATGTTCTAGGCACGAAATAGCAATCATCCCTTGATGATTCTTCAATACTTGCTTTCTCTGACAACAGTGTGACCACATCTGTGCAATGTATGCACACTATACTATATACTTGGAAGCTTACAATTAATATCACAGCTGTTGCACATATTTCTCTGACCACTGACAGCAAAGGAACACTAAAACTTGAAGGTCATTCAACTGAAATCACCATCAAAAAGACAAACTCCCTAATATTAGGATACCTAATTTTCTTAAACATCTGTGGGAAGAGGTTGAGATTTGATGGATTAGAATATGCTCAAGACCAGACAGTATCACATCGCCTCAAAAGGTACAGAGCCTGACAGACCACTAAAAGGACTCTCAGGAAGAAAAAGACAAATAGCTTTAGAGTAGACAACTTTGATGGACAGATACACCGAGGTAAAAAGTTGCATGGAGAAAACAAAGACATCATTCATTTAAAAAAGCCTGACTTGAAAAAAATGGAGCTTTGAGAAGGAGTCAAGAAACCCTAAAAAGTCCTAACACAATTTGATGAAAAGGAGACTTAAGAGGGAAAAAAAAGACAGAAAACGGCATACTAGTATTTTATGTTTTTTCCAAACATATTCTGTACTAGTTAGTTTCTATGTTTATAAATCCAGCTTCAGCAAATTTACAATCCAGGAAGGTACAGATAAAAGACTGCAGAAAGGACATAAGTAAATCTAGTGACTGAGCAGCATATTTATAGACCTAATTATATGGACAAATAGAGCAAAACATTTGTACAGTCCTATTGCTGGCAACCTATCACATCCACTACAATTTCTTTTCTGCACAATTGTCCAGCACTGTTTTTTTTTATAAAAATGAAAGAAGATTCAATGATATGATAGTCATTCTTCTTCATGAATTACCTTGTCACCGCAAAAATGGGCATAAAATCATGTCAATTGGAAAACAAAGTGACTTTCTAAAAATTTTATGGTAATGTTAATTGAACAATTAAAACCTATGAAGTTATTTATTTTTTTAAAAAAAATATCACCATGAAACTGCTCAAGAAATCTATTGCATGAGCATTTAATTCTTCTCGAAGTTTAATTCTGAAAAATCTTTGATCGCATGTGTAATTTAATGGCAGAGTCAAACAAAATCTTGATTAATGAAGCAGCATCACAGTGTCCAACAGCAAGTCTGCTTCAAATGTCTGGGTAAAATACTAGCCCTACAAATTTGAGTGGATCCAGAACTTGACACATGAACTTAACTTTAAAACACTATCTGCGTTGTTAGTGCAGCTCAGGAGCATACTGGGAGATCGGTGGACCGAACAAAGCAGGTCTAGAAAATCAGTACCTGCCATCAGCAACTGTTAGTAATATAGCTTAAGTGGGGAGACAAAACCAGGGAGCCAGTATCCTGTGAGGAAAGCTGTGCAGCTGCCCCCTTGTTCATCTTAAAGGAAGGAATACATATTTTCTTGCAGACAGTAGAAGGTATCATTAATTGCCATATAAAAAACCAAGAGTAACCGCACAAACACCTTCTCAAATGGTAACAGAATCTACTAGAACTTTAAAAAACCCAACAATAAATTTACAGTATGCCATTTTAAAATGTTTTCAACGTTCAGTTTTATATAAATATAAAATGTTCTTACCGACGTCCCTTTGAAATGCCCAGGTTTTTTATACCAGGCTTTGCTGTCCCCATTCTCACAAACGCATATATGATCCATAAGGCCATTCGAGTATACAAAACACTTTCCTAATAAAATGGTGTGTAAGAATATAGTCAATGCTTGTAAGATTGTTCTTACTCAGCAGCAATTTCAAACTGGATATAATGGCAATATAGATTTATCTCTGGTTAGACAAACAGGAGCAAAATAATCTTGAAAAGTCAATAACAACACAATAGGCAAAAGGAAAGAGAGAACAAATGTATTCCTCAGAGTGCCAGCCTGAATGAAACTGCCCTCAGAGGCTCCAGGAGACATGTTTGTGTTATACTACCATCTGCTGAAGGCTAAAAACAAAATAGGACCTGAATGTCACTACTGTATGTAACTATGTGAACACCTTTCAGACTTTTAAATCTTTTATTAAGTAGCCTCAGCATCCACATTACAGGTGAAGGTATTATATCTCAGATTAGACCATATTTACACTAGATCATCCTCTCTACTTGTTTTTGATTTCTTTTACATCATGTACTTTGAACCTATATTTGGTACATATCATCATGTACTTTGAACTATATATTTGGTAAAATATTGCCATTACAAAAACATACTTTGAGTGTCACATTTTCAGATTTCTGAAGGTTTTAGAATTTGCTAAAAAAAACCAGGATAGAAGGCACAAGTATTTTTCCTGATTTACAGGAAGTGTGACTGTAAATACCCATCTCCACATACAACACGGAACTTCCACACCAGTCATCTCCTTTCCTTTTAAATCTCATTTATTAATGGCAACTAAATAGTAGGACTCATTGGCATATCTTTGAGTGCACAATGTCTTAATGTATTTAGAACTCAAGTGACAAGTGACTTAGATAAGTCTTACTACTCTTTTTCAAAAGTTTTGGATTCTGGAGGAGATGAACTTTGATATAGCATCCTAATCACATAAGCCCTCTGATTAAATATTTAGTTATTTATTAATAGCTTTTTTGTTTAAAAAAACTCAACTCAGTAATAGTTGTACCTTCTGCCGCAATAAAAATACCAAGGAAGACAGAAGAAAGCCTATTTAAAATGGTATGTAATTATGGGATTTTTTTTCCCACTGTGTCTATTCACTGGCACTTTCTTTCTTTAGCAGTTTCAGTATACATTACTGTGTTGCTTTCTTCCTCTGCCACTATGCTGAAGAAACAAACATAATTATTGCGAAACAAATGAAAACATTCTGTAACTTAGCATTATCGTAACTATCAGCTAAAGGCAACAGCAAAAAGCAAATTGTGTCCTCCATTATACTACACATTTATTTACCTTTGGGGAATGGATTGCTTTGGGCTTGCAGTCGAGTTTTGATAACATCAAATGGAGTTACTAAAATGAAACAAAGAAGTAATTTAGAAATACCCTGCACACCCTGAAAACTTAGAAGTGTATAGACGCCTTACCATGAACTTTTCTTTTTCCAAATGGAAAAAAAAAGAGACCCATTTTACAATGTAATCAGACACAGGAAAAAAGAACTACAAATCCTGTATGGTTTGCAAGTGACCATATGTATCTTTTCTACTCTACTAACAGTTGCACAGACAAAAATATTAGCGATACACAAAGCTCATCCAAAACCCATTGTGTCATCTTGTCTTAAAGTGCTAAAACTTGTGCTATTATGCTCTGCTTAATATAACTTTTGTAAGTGGCATACCATAAGACATATGAGATCAGATTTTGGCCTCAAGCATGTAAAATATTACAGCATTTTTCAGGCATTTATTCTTTTTCAGTAAAATGACCATAATAGCAATGTTCAAAAGAAAATCATTAAACACATTATGTACTTTCCTCCTTTGCTGTGTGTAGACAAGATCTAAAACTTTAGAGTTGTTGAAAAATAAATGAAGGTTCAGTGAACATTTCATTGCTTCCTGTCCAGCCTGTACAATTATTACAGGCTCAGACATGCTGAACACTGGACCAGCCTCTATTGATTATATTGACCGAGAGCTCTATTCAGTTGCCTACGTACAAGCAGCTAGTGCCATCTTAGTCTCTAAGGTATCCCAAATACCTACATAGTTGACAGAAATTACACAGGACCTGCAACCTTACTAAGCAGCAGCTAGAGGGTACATCAACGCTCTAGCATGTGTCTCGCTGAACACATTCCTATGCACAGGCAACTGAGTCACACCTTACCTCTCCATTGATGCCTCTCAGCTGACTAACAGGAGGTTGAACACTTGGCTCATGTTCCTGTATCTAAACATAGAGATCTAAATGTGACTCCTGCAGTTCAATTCAGTTGCTTAAAATTTGGCATCTAGTAGCATTTTAGCCACTCACACATACTCTGCTTCGTCTTCCAGCTGCCACTTCAGAAAGGAGCTGGTCTCCTATACCTCTTGAGGTCTCAAATACCAACACCTTACGCTGTACTAGAAGTCTTATGTACACACAGTTGGAATCCAGCTTGGGAATTCCACAGGTCTGATATAGCTTTGCTTGCTACTTTACCTAACATCACAGGGCACATGGTATAAAGACAGACAAAAAAGACTGAATTTGACAGGTTCCTGTCTAGTAAGATCCTATTTTGCAAAAATTTGGAAATTTTGTGGGGGAAAAGTTGTGCTTAGAAAATTGCACATTTCCCTGCAGCATAATCCATTTTAGAAGTCAGAACCAAAGACTAGCTTAAGCCAAAAAGTAACTGAAATACAAAGCATAAGCTAATGTGCTTGGAGAGCTGCAAGGGATGTGAAGCGCTGAATCTAACCAACCAACGCCTCCTTAGGTACACACGGGGAAGGAGATCCTGAGAGAGATGACTGAAGCAGAAGAATAATTCCACAGACTATCCAGAAGTTTAAAAGCTAACAAAAAGCTATCCTTACAAGTGATGTTTAGGGGCAAAAAATCCCCACAATAAAAGGCTTTGACGGTGTAAGACATCACAGCAGAATAAATTAATGCTATTACTGAAGTGGTAACATGAAGGGGGCATCTCACAGGAGCCAGCCTTGCCAGATTTGTGTCTTGTGCTATAAAGTAGACTTATTTAAAACCTATTTTTAAGCATCAGGAAGTATGGAAATTAGTTTTTATTATTAATTTTGTTTCTTGCAGAAAGCAAGCAATGAATGAGTGCACCAAGAGAAAAAAGACATAGAAATGAGAAGTTAATAAAAATTATCCTTATTTTCAGAAATGGTTAAAGATTATCAGGGACAGGAAAGATTCCAATTAACCACATTTGTTAAAATACAAAAAATTATGAGAAAGCTATCCAAAAAATCCTTGTTGAACATGCTAGTGAAAATCATATACATGCAGACATCATGCTGAGTCAAACTGAAGAGTAATCACTTTGCAAAGATTCTCTCTGTGGCAAGCTTGATAGTTTGCCTTACCAAATAATGATGTAATTATAGCTCCACAACAAGAGGCTATTGCTTGCTGAATAATGGTTGTTTTATTTGAGTTGCTATCACTCATTTCAGCCATGGCTTTATCCCTGGAGAAGAAAAACCTGTGAAGGAACAGAAAAACATATTGCAAGACTATGTTCAGAACCTGCAGAAAATCAAAGGAAAAAATATTTAAAATTTCAATCAATACATTATGTATAAGCAGCGATAATGTAAACTCTAGTTTTCTACTTGTATACAAGCATCTCTGTAATTTTTTAAATTAAGAGTATTTGCGCCATGTTTTGTAAATAATCTAAGTTCTCTAAATGACAATAAATCTTTCAAATCCTTCTTATATGAATTACGTTTATATTTTTTGTAAACCACATTAAATATTTAATACGTATTACCTCTAGCTGCAACAAAGGGTTTAGGAGTATGTAAATAATCTGTACAAAGATAAATTCCCAGCCTGCGGCCCATAAACCATAGCACAGCAGAATAATTCATCTAGCCCTCCTCTTGCTTCTATCATTCCTGTGAGAAAATCCAGAGAGGTCTCCTGGTTGATCCAACAGTCACAGCCTACAAGCGATGACTGTATCCCCTGGCAAGCTCCTCATGCAATAAACAACTAACTAGTTTTCATACTATTAAATATTAATTCCTCAAATAAATCCTGCTGTGTGGCTGCATAGGCAAAGTTACAATGCCTTAGGAATGTAATCACAGTATCTAAAAATAAGGAGCTTATACATTCCCAGTACCCGCAACTAGCCAGGACAGGAGAAAACAGTAAATTAATACAAACATTTCAGGGCATAAAATCCCTGAACAAAGGCATCTTTTCAAAATGCATGTTGTGCTTAAGTGCAGTTGTGACTTTATTAGTTTACATGGATCAAAGCTTTTTATTTCATCTACAGGAACATTGTTTTGCTCTTTCCACAAGTTTCAAATAAAATATAAGAAAGATTAAGCTGCATAAAACAAGATTTGCCTCCCAGATGTTTACAGGTACTAATTGGGGGGTGGTGGTGGGGGGGGT